TCACATGTGTGTAAAAAACCGACGAGGCGGGGGGGGGGGGGTGAGATTCATGTGGTTACTGAGATGATGGGAGGGGGGGGCTTGGTGGGGTGAGGAGGCTCCCCAAAACAAGCTTTTCTCCGCTTTAATGGGAAAAAAGCAAGAGCCCAGGAGCAGTGTTCCCTCTAAGCTGACTTAGTGTGAGCTAGCTCACAGTTCTTTAGCCTCCGGCTCACACATTTTTATTTATTTATTTATTTATCAAATTTATACCCCGCCCTCCCCACAAAGCAGGCTCAGGGCGGCTTCCAATAACATAAACGTGATAAAAACATACATAACACAAATTAAAACATAACAGTTAAAATTAATTTTTGTCTTAGCTGAGGAAGGATGGCTCCAGAGCAGTGTTCCCTCCAAACTAATTTAGTGTGAGCTAGCTCACATTTTCTTAGCCTCCAGCTCACACATTTCTGTCCTGGCTCAGGAAGGATGGCCCCGGAACAAACTAATTTTATGCAGTATCCAAATGGCTCACTCACAGCTTTCATGCCAGGAGCTCACAAAGTAGAATGTCTTGCTCACGTGACTCCACAGCTTAGAGGGAGCCTTGCCCAGGAGCCCCTTAAAGACGAACAGAATTTGTGGTAGGGCCCTAAGAAGTGAGCCGTGGCTCACAAAAGCTCATATCCTGCCACAAATGTTCCTCGTCTTTAAGGTTATCCAAAGAAGTGGCTGCAGCGACCCACAAAAGCCTCCACCCCTCTTGCCACAGACCTTGTGAGTCTTGAAGGTGCCGCTGGACTTGGACTCTCCTGCTACAGACAGAGACGACTCACACGGCCACCCATCTTCAGCTTTAGTACATTTACTGGCCTCAAGCCAAACACCACAAGTTAAACGCCAGCTGGCACAACCCACTTCGAGCGCACAGAGAGAGGGCGATGGGTACGACCCACGCTGCTCGGTCAACCCGATCCTGCTATGCAAAAGTATCTCCCACACACACACACACACCCTGTGAGCGTGCCCAGCAATGCGGCAGCTGACCACTTCCAGGGGCATGGCCGCTTCCCCTCCCCCCATGCCCCCCCCCCAGTGCTGCCAGGCCTCCTGCAGGCTCAGCTCCCCAGTCCCCGGGGGACCATCAGGCAGGGAAGGCGAAGGCGGCGATCCCATGACTGCCGGCCCAGCCAGGGCAGCCGCGCA